TTCTCAATTTGTGCCCATTTGTTGAGCAGCCCCAACCCTGAGAAGATGATGTTCTCCACATCCTCGATGACATCGCTGCTGATCATGGTGAAATCAGCAGAGCAAAACACAAATGCTACTTCAAACTCTGGTTTGTGCAAGAAACACTGCAATCAAATGGTTGACATGTCACACATGCATGCAATGCAGTGACAATGAGGTTTGGTGGGCAGCAATGAAACAATGTACATGAACCTCACAAGTGTTGAGCAGGCCATGATATGACATGAGCAGCCTTGCATATGCCAAATACAGGTGGTTGCAAGTGACAATTCAAACCACATGACAATTAAGTGGTTGCAAGTGTTCTCAATGCTGCATGATGCACATGGGTTACTACACAAAATGCATGTCAAAAGGCATTGCTGAAGCCTCAATAGGCCAAACAGAAACACATAACAATGACAAAACCCGTGCATGAAATGGTGCATGAATTATTGACCCAGGGCTTAAGGCATGCTTCTTTTCACACATCATACATCAGCTCATTACCAATCCATGGACATCAAGTCCAATATATGTACAATGACACCAGCTTGATACCTGGTGAAGCCCAGTTGATCTTCCAATCCTCTGGCAATGGTGATCCTGAACACTGTCGCAAATGGTTTCCCACACAAACTACTTATACATACTTTCATGGTATGTTAAAACTTGATTTTAAAAACTCTTCTATATGCACAGTCCAAACCACCTTTCTTCCCAAAGGTTCTCATATTTGGCTGAGAGCCACCATGTACCATGCCAGAAGCCAATGCTAAAGCGAGGTTGTCCTTCATGCCACCACTGCATTTTCATATGTGCTGGGAAGAGGGCAAGCAATGCCTCTTCAGATCTCAAGGGCCAATACTGCATGCTGGCAGACATTGGATCTGCATTGCCCATGGCTGAGTCCATGACAAACAATGACAAAGTGAAAGGCAGCTGCAACAAATCTTGAGCACAGAATCTCACATGAACATGAACATTAACACATGTCAACCCACATGTCTCTACCCACACATGTCCATGACAACATGCACATGTAAACCTATACAAGCAACAAACACATGAACATGACAAATCACAACTAGCATGCATGCTCTCTACATGGTAAAGCCACCAGGCTTGGACATGACATGGTGACCAAAAAGTCAAAAAATGAAAGTGTGAAATTTCAAATGAACATGGCAAATCACAACTAAACATGCATGCTCTCTACAGGGTAAACCCACCAGGCTTGGACATGACATGGCAAGAACCCACAATTAATGAAAATGCAACAATGAAAATGCAAAATTACTATGTGTACACTGTAGATTTTTCAAAAAACAAATCATATGCAAATACAACATATTTCAACTGAAACATATAACTTTTTCAATTCAAAAACATTCAAACATGTTGTGGTGAGACTTGGTGACCAAAAAGTCACCGACACCACATTTTTCAGTCCTCGGAGAGCTTTACCAGCTAACCCTTAAGCTAAATGGTTAGCAAATCAGCTAACCACTTAGTAACCTAGGGTTTGTTGAAGTGGCTAACCTCTAACAAACAAGCTAAGAGGTTAGATAAACGATATAAAGTTTATAGAGGTTAGCCTCAAACCTAGAAGTGGTTAGAGAGGTTATAAACCATTACTAGAAGTTATAACCTACTTACTAGAGCTTATAACTAGCTTATTGGAACTTATCTAACCATTTATAACTCTTCTAACCAATAAGATCTTCGCGGGACATCCCAGTAGGGCATCATCGCTTCTTTGGACGGGGCGGTGCCCCAGGAATAGCCTCCTCTCGGGGGGCTTGGGAGTTGAACTCAAGGTAGGACTTGTCAAGTCCACGATGCAACGGCAAATACGGGTTCGCCTCAGCCCGATGTAGCCGCTTGTGTTTCCTGCCTGCACGATGTGTGCGATCCCTCTTTCTCTTCCTCTTCGATCCTCGATGGTGTCCAGGTTCACGCCGATGTCGATGGCGGTCCCTATCAACGTCCCTCGAACCACGGGCGCTTGAAGCACCCTCCACGGCCTCCGGCTCGGTGCCCTTACCAGCCAAAGGTTCCTCAGCAGCCTCCTCCTCAGCTTTAACCTCCTCGTGACGATCAGCTGATCTCCTAGCCGGAGGCGCGGCCTTAGCGGACAGCCCCTGCTTAGTGATCACCTGGCTTGGGTGCTTCACGACGGTGGCGTCGAAGACCGCCTCGGACTCCTCGTCCTCTTGCTCGTAGGAGCTCTCGTCGGCAGCCTCCTTGTTCTTCTTGTCCTCCTCTGCTGGGGCCGCCTCCGCTCGGGGCGACCGAGGAAGCGGAGCTCTCTCTCCTCCAGGCTCGGGGTTTCCCCCAGCCGGAAGAGAGGGTGGCTCAGCGGCTGGGGCCCTCCCCTGTGGGCGTGCAGCCTGAGGTTGAGGTCCCAAGACCTTAGTCACCCTCAAGGCTCGCACCTGCCGGACCGCACTGACCACAATGTCAGTAGCGATGGCCCTCAAGCCTGGATGACCCCAGGTGAAGCTCAACTCGGAGCCCAGGGCCTCCCAGCCGCTGCAACCAAGACACCAGGTGTCACCGGTCGACGGGGCGGTCCGGTGACACTTGGCGCACAAGGCCATGAACCGCCTCGAAGCTAAATGGAGCCAGTGGCCGGCGGAGCATTCGTGCAAATTAACTCACCTTACGGAAGTTTTCATATATCCTGATCCTACACCCCAACCAGCACACGCGCTCCACTGGACGTGGCTTGCACACAAAACTGGAAATCTGCTCAGTGGTCTGTTGGAGATTTGTTGGAGGACAACCCACCCCAACAAATGCACCAATGTTTCAGGCCTGATTCAGACCGGGTTCAGGCCCCGTTCAGTAGAGGGTATCGCTTCGAAGCTACGTACGGAAAAATACGGCCCTGGCGAAACCTGTGAAAACACAAAGGGCGGTTGCAAACTTTTCGAACATTGATTAACTTGTCCAAAGGCCCCAAAGGCCCGCTCCAAACCACACAACATTGGAAATCTGCTCAGTGGTCTTGTGGAGATTTTTGGAGAACAGCCCACCCCAACAAATGCACCAATGTTTCGGGCCTGATTCAGACCCGGTTCAGGCCTCGTTCAGTAGAGGGTATTGCTTCGAAGCTACGTCCGGAAAAATGCGGCCCTGGCAAAGGGTTTTTCACAAAGCGCGTTTTTCAGCCTGCAACACACTGGGGACTTGCATGAAATTGTTGATCCTGATGGATGGAGGAACCAAGGGCCTTTTCAGACATTTGTCAGACCTCTGAAACGGGCACCCTCCCTGCCAGTTGTTCCAGAAGTTCTTTTTTAAAGCTGGGGGTGCTTTCACACAGTCTGAAACAGGTCTGAATCAGGTCTGAAACACAATTGGAAACCTAAAGGCGCTGAATTGAACTTACCAGCAAATCTGGGATGAGAGCCAGGTTTAGAAAAGAAGGTCTGCGCACAGTTAGAGATGAAGCTGACAAATCCCTGGTCGCACCTACAGCGTGTAAATCCTGAGCAGCAAGGCAGGTACGGAACCAACCACAGCAGCTAAATCCCTGCTCGCACCCAGCCCATGGGGCCAACCACAGCAAGTACGTAAAACTTAAGCTGCACCCAACCGATAATCCGACCACAAACCTAACCAAAGCAACTAAATCCCTGGTCGCGCCAGGTGCTTCCAGGAAACAGCCATTGATATGCGGTCAACCAATTTCCGGAGCTAGCCAACAGCTGTCGCAATAAACAACAAAGCCCCAAAAAGCACAGCTCTCATCCCAGGCCCGCTGGTAAGTTCAATTCAGCGCCTTTCGATTTCCAATTGGGTGACAAAACGCGCGTGGAATTGTAGTGCAATTTGCATGGAATTGGCAAAGATATGGACCGCCAGCCGCTCTCCTGTCAAATCTGATGTGTTTCAGACCTGGTTCAGACCTGTTTCAGACTGTGTGAAGGCCCCCCCAGCTTTTAAAAGCAGTTCCGTGCACAGTTTTTCATTCGTTGCCAATTCCACAAGCAAGTTGCAGCACAATTCCACGTGCGTTTTGTCACCCAATTGGAAATATAAAGGTGTTGAATTGAACTTGCCAGCAAACCTGGAGGGCAAAAGAAATTCCTTTTCCCTGAACTCGAGCAAAATTGGCACACAGTTCAAAGGACAGTTCAACACCTATAGTGTCGGCTTGCTCCATCGCCCGTAGTGTGTGTGTGTGTGTGGCTGTGTGTGTGTTTCTGTGGGTGTGGAAGACCCAAAATTAAGAACATACAATCTAGACTCTAATTTTGGTCGCGTATTTCTTATCCTTGATGCCTCAATTAAGAAATATTCTAGACTCTACCCCCAAAAACCTGTTTTCTTAATATAAAGTTCAGCCGTACACCAATCACGAGCATGGTGCCTCCCAAAACAAACCCTCAAGCCACAAGTTTTAGATTGCCAACCCTCACATATATTGCTGCTGCGGTCCTGGACCAGTCACCTCAGGCAAAACAGGGATGTTCAACAATGAGTAGCAGTAGGCCAATGACTCGGACTCATTGGCCCTACGCACCTTTTCTCCACTGCAAAGAACAGGAACTAAGACCACCACCACGTCCAAAAGTACTGCACCTGCCACGAAAGCTGCACATCGACGTAAAACCACCCCGATCTCCTGCACCTGTCACGAAAAGTCCCGCTCGGGCCCAGCAGATTCTGCAAGCCTGCGCAGTCGAAATGCACTTCGAAGATCTCGAGGTGAATGAATTTAATGCAAATAGCAGCGGCCACAAGCACCTCCGATCAAACACCCGTCCTTAACTCTTACCGTAAGAACCCCTAGTGTGGACACATGACCCAAGAACACCAGCAGGTTTTTGGGATATAGACTCTAGGGTCCCACATAACACTTCAGATCTTCTGAATCCCACTGACTCTCTGACTCTGAGACGTCCTCTCCAACTCTGTCCTCTGACCCGCCCATCCGTAGTGACGACTTGGGTCATTGTCCAAGTCGCCGATCATCCAAGTGGTGGACGACCAGCCTAGTCGTCGGGCGGACACAAACCGTATCAGCGTATCCCCTTTCGATGATCAAACGTATACAATATATAGTATTCAGTATACAAATGACTATTGATACCTGCCCAAAGCTGTATTGACATATGCTTCCAACACATACCGTATTTTGACTTACATACAGAAACCGTGGTTGGTCTCTTGGAGCTACTACGGTGAACACACACGTTGAATCAATCGGGGACCCTCTTGAACGACACATCGATCGCGAGTTCAGGTTCTTACGCGCCTGAAGCCAGTGAGAGCCTCCGCAAGTGTAAGGTCCACTGAAAGGTAGAGATCAGCCTGGCGGTCTCGAACTGTTGCAAATAGTCATGTACTACCTGCAAATCCAGGAAACACAGACACATTGGAAACCCATGTTCAAAAAGCAACAACAAACACAACACCTCATTTACAGTGTTTGGTCGGTTTGGGGTGAAATTTCCAGATGTCTGGCATCCACAGACTGACCTCTTCAGCACGGAGCTTCCCACTTGGCTTCGGCCCAGGACGTGTAGATGGATCCACTGCCACCCTCTGAAAGGGTAATGTGTTCGTCCTTGGTCATAGCCTGGGAGGGTCCGTACCTAGCTTCTGAGAAGGTGGCAGTGGATCCCGAGCTAGGGAGTCTTGATTAGCAAAACATATTGTTATATATTTAAAACAAATATATATACAATATGTTACATCTCCATGTGGGTGGTTCATCAATCAACACTCCACATTGACTGCATTCCCATGAGGATGTCCCAAATGGTGACCTGCACTAACCAGAGAATGCATGAGTCCCGCCGTTCGAAGTGAACACGAACGACACACTGAGACTGAGCTCGGGTCTAAGACTCAGGTGTCACCCAAAGAACAACATGAACCACATCTACATCATCTATATATGGACTTATGGATCCAACATCAAACACCAGTTGGGGCCTCTAAACTCGATCACACGCAGTGGCCAAACATTTTTCTTGAGAACCTATCTGGAGCACTCAAATATGCTACAGTAACAATTGGAACATAACCTCAGAAAATGTACTGTGCCCATCTTCAAACATTCCGTTCAAACTTCAGATATGTTTCCAACCACATCCATGTTCATGCTCCTCCCGGAGAGCCAAGGCCTCGGAGCCCTCCTTCCAAGGCCGCTTCTGTTGCCAAGCCTCCTTCCTCATGAACTTGGGGTGGTCCTGGTGGTGTTGCGTCTCATCACGCGCGCCGAAACGCGGCGCGCGAATCGGGAAAAGGCGCATGTGTTGTCGGATATTGTGTGATCAGAAATTGCAATTGGATTGGGAGACAACAACAACAAATATTTACACAAACAACAAACATCTTGATGGACCCCAACTGTTGAAAGAAGTGCAAAAAAATGGGGATCCGCATCATGAGAAGGGTTCGACACCATGCCATGAATGTGTTATGCTTGTGGGATAGTGACTTTGATGGCCGCTGATGTTTTGTGGAGCGCAATGTCCGGCCAAACCCAACACGAAGAAGTCCGCAAATCGTCCTCCCTGCCCTCATTCGGAACATGAAGACATCTTATCAACAGTTCGTTCTGAGACAATCCGGGGAAAAAGGCGTTGAGTTGAGAGATAGATGCACAATCCAGGCCCCCATCCCTCTTACAATCCGATGGGGGAATCTACGTCCCTCCGCTCAGCTCCGGTCGGACGACGGGTCCGGTCAACCGGGGTCTATTTGGATGAATCCCCTTCGTTTTGGCCCCAACCCCGGGGCCAGCTTCAGGATAGTGCATCACTAAATGAACATGACCAATATACAGATATACATACCAATACTCAAAATGCGCTACCCTAAAAGACCAGTGCTGCTAGTTTGGGTGAATGGATGCTACTACATGATGCTACATACCAGTAGCTGCCATCCACTCTCCCCCCAAAAAATAGCTTCACCACTTCGCCATCTTCTTCACTCCCCTCCACTTATCAGGCAAATCCACTGCCTGCTCGCGCACCACCACGACCAAGTCACCCGGCTCGCAGCCGGGCGCTTCATCGGCCTCGTCGTGCTGTGAATGGACATGACATGGATTGAAAACAAGAGTCAATGCTTTATCCCATATATTATATTATACAATCCGAATCCCATTTGGCTGTTTTCTGGTCCCAAGTTAAGATGATTCATAGTCCGACTACGGGAATGAAGGTGAGCCTTTCAAAAGAAAAGAGCCCCCAAAAACAGTCGGTGATCCTATGGGATCTCATGCTGTTTCTAAGAAAAGACTCCCAGACTCCCAAAAGTCCAATGAGCTGGGCTTCATCTCCTCCGAAACATCCGGAACAACGAACATCCGAGAAGAACCTTCGCCACGACCAACTGACTCCTCACCTTGCCGTGGAGGATGATCTTGTGGCCATTGGGCGAACCCTTTTCCACAAAGACCTCCAACACCTCTTGAGTGCGCGAGATACGGTGCCGTCCGTGCAAACTTGGAGAATTCTTTTGAGATGATATGGGTGCGTGAAAAAGGATTGTAGCGTGGAGGTCTGACCTAGGCAAGGGGTATCAAACGTCTTCAACTGTTCTCTATTGTTTTCTTAGACCAAAGGTGCCGGCCTGATGTACCACCTCACACTACGGAACAAAACTCAATTACGGTATGTTTATTTCACCGTACATTTCTATATATTAATATATATATATATAGTAGCCGCTTGGCTTCGCTGCGTTCCAACTGCATGGCAAATCGGCCAATCTCTATCTCTTCGACGAGAGCAATGAATGCATCTCCCTGACTGCACCGTGCCTCGCGTTGGCTCCGCATTTTAAGGGCTTGCCCAGTGCCTTGGCACTTCTCGCAGGTCTGCTGCACCTGGCGATGCTGGTTCCGCGCAGTGCGAAATAGGCTGATTGGGTCATCGGATGAGCTTAGTTTACACCCGGACCCCTACTTCGCCATCTCACAGACAAAAAGGGCTGCCATTCCAGCTGGTCGTTCTTGTTCAATCTTTTGCAGGCCACACAATTCATCCGTGGACAGCCGGGGTGTATTTACGTGGCAGTCGGGGTGTATGTATACGTTAAAGCAGAGTCCCAACAACACCCCAACCAACCAACCTATAAGGGGGAAACAAATCGACCCAAAACCAATTGGCTAAACCAATTGGTTAAAAACCAATTGGCTAAAAACCAATTGGCTAAACCAATTGGCTGAGTTACTCCTGCTGCCGGTGCTCCACTTCATCCGAACCCTTATCCGCTCCCCAGATCCGCCGACGGCGCGGGAATGGGCCGGTGCTCCACCTTCTGCGCGAAGGGGCCCATCCGCACGACCTGCATCGTCCACGAGGGCACGGGGGGAGCTAGGACTCACCAGAAGCTGCGCAGGCGAAACGCGAAGCGCGCGTAGAAGCGCTAGGGATTCCTGGGGTGTTCAAGTGATTTTGGATGATTTGTGATAATTTTGGGTATCGATCTGCTGACTGTAACTGGCTCCCACTGGATCAAATTGCCCCAGAAACCCTTTCCAATTCAACAACCATGCTTCCCCCCAAAATATCCCAAACAGGCTCAATGATCCTGTCGCCGCCTGCAAGGCTACGCCCTTACCATCGCAAACGTCACATCGGCAGGACTGGCCCGACTCATCCACCACCTGTGCAAGCTGCAGGAAAGGGGCCCGAGTGAAAGGCCAGGAGGCCTGGGAAAGGCCGGTGTGGCAACGTTTGCCGATCCCTAGCTCCAAGTACTTCCTCAGAAGGTGGGACTGGGGTGGGTTTGAGGGGTCCAAACACCTTCTGAGGAACTTCTTGGAGCCCTAGGGAATGCTAACCTGTAAGAAAACCCATGAATCATTAATATGTTCACATTGACATCGTTGACTCGGCTGGGATTGTCTGGGCCATGACATGGGTTTGACTGAAACACTGACGTGAGGGCCTTGATTCCGTTCGAAATCATTTGAGTAAAAAACAATAAAACACCGAAGGTGTAATGTATGAAACACCCATCATGGGTATAATGATCTGGTATAATCAATTTCTAACACCTTCAAAATCGAAAAATATCGAACAAACGAAATGGACAAAAACGAACAGCTGACTGAGCTGTGTCTTTTCGTCGGCGTATGAAACCAAAAATGCTCCCCAATCGGGGGTGTCCAAATACCGCGACCAAAGGCTCCGCTTGCCCGCTGCCGCGCCCCGCCCCGCTCCCCCTCCGTGTCTTGTTCGGGTCTTTTTCATCTTTTTCGGCCCCTGGCCTTCCGCAGGATGGGCAGCTGGCGAGTGATCCCCGTGTAGAGCTCTTCCAAGGTCACCTGGCAGGTGCCGAACACGCGCCACTGCGCTGACGGAGACAAAGGCAGCCGGGGACGTCGGAGCGCGGTGGGACTTGGGCACCCAGTGAGTAGTAAAGCCTGAGATGAGGATGGCTATGGCGTTAGATCATGGGAACTTTCAGACAAAACTCTCATCAAACCCAACCTGAACGGCGACGCGAAGCAAGGGCCCTGAGAATACCCTTCCTTCACTCTTGCATCGCGTTGCCCCCGAGTGAGCACCTTCCCACAGTCAGCCACAGCTGGACCCTACACACAACTGTCGGGTGTATCCAGAGTCAGGTCTCCTCAAGCAGGTCTTTAAGAGGTTCCGAACCAAACAACCCTCTAAATAGGTCACCAGGTCAGATCTCCAAGAGGGTCTATGTTAGACCGCCCATGTTGGCCTGTTAATGCCTGTTATCTCTATGTTGGGATGTGTTGGGAGGTTTGTTTTCCATGTCTCAGAGGTTGTTTCAGATCTGATGCGCAACGCTTGCAAAACCTGACTAGTCGATTCGTTTTTCAATCATGATGTGCAACCCAGATCCGGTGTTGCACATTTCGTGCGCATGAACCAGCTCCCCGTCCATCCGGGAGAAGAAACACACTAAGGCACTGGTACATGGCAGCAAACGTGTAATTGATCCAGCATTGCAAAGCTTGTGGAAAACGGCTATATTTTGTGCAAAGGACCATCATGATCAAAGGTTCCATATATACTGCTAATAAATAAAGAAAACAAGCATCCTTCCTTTGATTGACACGAACCAAATGGCACACTTAAGATCCATCTATATAGAAACGTTCACTACCAAACAAGCTCGACACTGGTGGAGCAGTTGGCCACCCAGCTTCTAATCTTCGTCTGGCTCACCCAGATGGGCCGCACCACATCAGAGGTCTTCGGCCTTAGCAGAACATCCCGTCTGTGAGGCGCCCACCCGCGGTTGGGTCAAACGGTGTGTGTGTTCAAATAGGGAGACCTCCACACTCCACACAATGACTTCCATGGAAGAAGGAAGTAGAAGACCACAACCCAGCCAGGGCCAAGAAGAGATCTTCCTACAGCCACATCCCAACAGCAACGAAGAGGATGGCCAGCACTTGGCAGCACACCGGCTTGGTTTAGCTCCACGGCCGCTGCCCTTCCCGAACAGGTGGGAAAAGAGATCCTGGCGCAGGACGGCGAAGACCACATCGGGGTTGGTGGCATGTCAGGGACGAAGACCTGGGGAGTGGCACTGAAACCGAACAGGAGGTGGATCCATATATACAAATATAGGGCGCATCATGTTTCAGGCAGCAAATCAACCTGCTGAAGATGGGCAAATGCTTGACAAATCTGGGAACACCCCGGGTTGGCAAAGGACTGACGATGACGTGCGACTTACTGTACACGCCATGAGTGGACACAAACATGAACAACATTCATGCACATCAACAAAAATCAAATCCAACACACGAAGGTTGCTTGCTGATCCGGCCGTTGCTCTGACAACAGTGGCTGTGAATTGGCAACACCACTATCCAAACAAATCGATTGCTTCGTCAATCATCGCAACATCCCATATATATATATATATATAATTGTATAATATGCAAAGTATTATAGAGTGTGGATGAATTGAACAACACATTCTAAAACAAAAAATATCGTATTTTCTATGGGTCGTTTGATCCATCAGTTTCCGACTCCCTCAGTTTTGCCGGACAAAGGCTGAGCTGAACCCTTTTCCACCTGTTGGATTGGAGTGGGAAACCAATGCCTAAAGAGGTTGAAGGTTCTGCAATGACTGGGTAGGGTCACTTATAAATCAAGAAACCCACAACTGCCAGCAGTCACCTTCGGACGGGGTGCCTGCCTGCAAAACGAACGGAGGAAGGAAGGAGGTCGGAGTGCCCCTGTCGTCACATCCACTCACTTGGGGACTAAAACCCACACCGTCGAACGTGACTCCTGGTGACCTTTCGACTCCCTCGGGCCTGTCCCGCATCCTCCTGGGCGGAGAGCAAATCGGAGAGCAGCGTTGGAGCGCCGCATCGGTCGTGCTTTGAACCAATAAGTCGTTGGTTAACCAAGAGTCCTGGCACATTTGAGGATCAGGGGGCCAACATGGCATTTTGAGGCATACCTTGTGCAGTTCTGTGCTGCTCAGAAGTGGAAACAAAATGAAACAAACATCCTTGTTGACACATGTTGTCGTAGTTGTGCCTCTGTAGCGGTGGACTAGATCCAAGGGTCATCAAGGGATACTTGTTTGCGCTACCAATCCCAATAGCGACGCTATTGGGGAAAGTGGCGTTTTGCCGAACAATTAGGTGATATTTACAGCATTTCGTAGCATCCGCAGGGCCACCAAGGAGAGTTAACTTTGCCAATTTTTGTTCAATGGATTGTTTTGTGGACTCTTTGCATGACTTTGTTTTTTTGCAACATTATCATCGGTTTCAGAAGAGTCTGATCCATCAAACATTGTACTCGAAGAGTTGCAGTCAAACTGGGGCGGGAGGGTAAGGGTCAAATGCCCTGCAGGAGTAACCTGTGTACAGTTTTTTCAGCTGGATAGTAAACACTGTGGAGGACGAACGAAGCAACCAAGCCAGAGCGGATTGTGGACGTCTTTTCGACGGCTCGAGTGCAACACACGTACCGAACAACAGCTCGGAGGCGTGCTCGTCACCTTGGGGGAGAGCATGGTCTTGGAGCGTTGCTGTTACGTCTTCTTAGACATGTCTATACATCTATACATCAATGGAGCTCAGGCGCTCGGAAGCTAGAACTCTCTGCTCTCTCTCTCTCTCTCTCTCTCGCTCTTCTGCTCTTTTCTCTTGTCTTTTCTTCATATCAAAATCAATGATGCCACCGACCGCAAAGTGCACCCGTTGCCAAATCTAGTCAAGATTTCTATACATTAACCTTCTGTGATTGGATTGTGACGGGTCCCGACTCGACCCTTTCTTCTTTTCTATTCCATCTGTTCGTTTCTTTTATATTAATCGAACCAGGAAGAGGACCATGTAGGAAAAAATCCAATGAAATTCAAAACATGCCTACTGTACTGGATAAGTTCCATGCACTGACCCTCAAATCATGTCACCCAAAACAAATATCCACTTCCTATAGTTGGGTGGATTATTTCAAGGGACAACCCCCCTTGTTAGATCTTGTGAGGTAGCTCAGAGGCTGGCGCCCGGATATAGTCTTGGGTCAAACCCCATGGATTTTATCCACCCAGTACCATCCCCCTATCATATGGTCACATGTTCAACCAGAGTTTGTGAGAGGTGACGTGTTCAACCAGAGATTGAAGGTGACATGTGTTCGAGATTGTGTGAAAGCAGTTTCCATGGTAAAACAAGGTGCCGGTCCCAATGTTACAAAACGATGGCCGTTTTGCGTGGCTCAAATTCCCCCGTGAGGGCATTTAAGTTCTCGACGAAGCACTGTTTAGAGGAAAGGTGGGGAGCGCGCTGTTAGGAGGACATTCATTACTGTACATGGCCACCAAATCAAGTGCCATTCATACCCAAGTTGTCTCAACCAGCCAAGAACCTCCTCCAACTACTATATAACTGTATCTAACTTATAGTGCTTACAAAAACGAACCAAAGGATGCATGAAAGCCCTGTTCTCCCACAAAAGCCCTGTTCTCTTACATCTTTTTGGGGGGCTACCTGGCTGCCTGGCTGCCTTTCAGCGCAGCGATCCGCTAAGCAAGTCCACCGCACCGGACCACGCGGTGAGACCGAATGCCACCTAGGCCACGTGCTCCAGCCCTTCCTCGCCGGTGTGATCCTGAGAAGCCCCCGGTGGTCCGTCTCCGCGGAACCCGTGGAACGAAGCGAATGAAGGAACGAAGCCGAGAGGTGACGAAGCATCGTTCCTCTAGTTTCGCCAGTGAATGGTTTTCTGTATGTGAATGTGCCACACTGCCACACTGCCAGTGTTTCAAGATAGCCTTGGGCGACTTGTAAAACATTGTAAAACTATGCTCAAGTTCAGCCTGGAATCTTCAAGTGGTTCAAGCTCGGTGTAGCCTAGGGCCTATTCTCAATCACTCCTTAAAAACAAGGCCAAACATGGCCAAAACATCTTTCTGTGGTTGAGTGGCGACTGTAGTTGATTCATCCAAAAGTAGCGTCTATGACTGTCTATGACCTGAAATTCATCACTCGTCACCCAACGTCACCCAACGCCACTGCCCCCCGCGCCGCAGCGCTTCGATCCACCGGTCCCGGGCGACCCGCACATATCTCCGCCGCTTCTCGTCATCGCTCAGCACCTGGGCCCGGAGTGAATGAGTGAATGAGTGAAGAGGTTGAAATCAAAGCTGAGGGGCTGCAGAAATCCAGGGGCTGCCCTTGACCCTTTCACAGAAGGCCTTTCGGAGCAGAATTCACTCCAAATGGTTCAATTGGTCGGGGAGTCCAGTGTCATCTCAGGGCTCGAGGAATAAGACAGATACAGGTATATCAACCATTTGGACAGTGAAGCTTTCAATAGAACACATTGCGATCGTCAAACGTCTGCATCTGCCAACGTCTGCAAACATCTGGGAACATACAAATTCCTCTTCTAAGTCACCGATATTCAGGATTCCAGCCGATAAAGACTGCATCGCTTTGACGTGATCACTGCACACTTGGGAAGTCAGAAAAATGGAAATCACATGAACAAAATAACACAAAGTCAGGCGAAACAACCGGTTTCTTATTGAGACTTCCTTTTTTCACTTGCTAATTCCACGTTGGCTGTTTCCGAACAAACATCTGCGCAAGAAGGAGAACCAGCTCCTGCCCATTCAGCTTCGGACCTTTCAAAAGAAACCTCCTCCTAGTGGTAGCGCCCCAACCAAACACCACAGAACCGGACCCGGTGCACTTTGGGAGGTTTCTCCATGCATAGGCCTTCCTCTGTCTCCGTCTCTCTCGACCGCACCTCGAAGGCTCGATTCACTTCCTTGAACTCATCGGGGTCTCCACCCTTGTCCGGATGCTTCTCTCGAGCCTGCTTGTGATAGGCCTGAACCAGAGAAGCTGGCTGGTGCTGCTCAGCAGGTCGGTGCCGGGGATCGGGTTCGATCGTGGTGGGGAGTGAAGATGGATCACCTCCCCTTTCGATGCGAAGGACACATATAGCAGGTCGGACAGCGCCGAAGCGGCGAGAGAGCCATGGCCATGCTTTGGAAGCATGTCTCGCAGCCGTCGGAGAACGATCGGACGCGAACGTTAATGGACGCATAAATTCGCGGAGAGACTAACGAAACAACCAGAAAATGATTTCAGTAAAGACCCATTGTCGCAGCGACGCGCCTTCTTGATCTCTGCCGGAGAGGCGTCTTTCTTCACGCCCAGGAGATCATAGAAACGGCTATTGTCCACCTGAGCCACGGCTATTGTTCACCGTGACAGGTGTAGAGACCTGGGAACTCAAACATCAACTTGAACTCTCTGAAAATTGTTGCAGGATTTGGTTCTTGGCTTTAGGTTGGTTATGTAGATCGCCGACCACTGTGACAAACACGAACTCCAAACATCATGCTGATTGGATTCTCTTCTCACTTCTCAGAACAATTGACTCGCAGAACATTTGTTCTCAGAACGTCAAATAGTTCGCATCTTCTACTTCAGTGAATTCACTGTTCACAGCTAGCTGTCGCTGGTGTCTGATGCTTTCAGGGACATGTCTTGGGACCCAGACCATGGCAGGTGTGAAAGAAGATCTTACGAAACAACTGAACACAAATTGCCATAGTGAAACATGCCAGCAACACCTGCAACTGAACGAAGGCCCATGTCTTGTCTGAGGTTCCCCACTCCGATCCGATCATCTGACCAAAACCACAACAAAATAATGATAATCTATATAATTAAACATCTGTAGCATCTCAATATCACATGTTTCATGTAATAATTTGCTTGCTTTGTGCTTTAAGGAACGCAGATCGGAGTCTGTTTGGCACATGCTGTGGTTTTCCGTGGCCTTCACCACCTGGCCACCTCCCACGGGTCACCCACGTGCCATCGCACGCGTGCCCGCAGGCGCCTGTGGACTGGGAACCGTGCGCCCCTGGCGGTGAAAAGACTGTGAGAAACCCTCGTTCTCCTCCTCTCAGATGGTTCGTTGTTGTGAGTAAGCACTCTCCCTGAAACAATCATGGAAGTGGCCCTTTCAACAACGACTTTCGTCTACCAAGAGGGGGTGGTCCACGTCCATGATTGTTGCAGGGGGGTACCACTTTGCTTCACCAAGCAAACTGGTAGCCCGGCCTCCCTTGGCAGGAAGTCAACACTCTGCTGTCATGTTCCAACTCTTGATCTGTGTGCAATTCCTTGCCTATTGTTGAGTTCACATGTCAACAGCATTGGAATCAATCACGCTGAAAAAAAACATGAAGTGCAAACAAATGACTTTGAAGGTTAGTCAATGGTTGTTAGGACAGTTGATTTTCATCATGTGCGAAGTTCGAAGGGTTTTGAGTTTGATGATGCTTCATGACGTTCTAGGAGTCCCCATAGCCCCATAGCCTGGTCAAACCAAAAAGAACAGGGAAAGGAACATGAGCTTTCAATGGTCATGTAGTTTATTCATGTTTATTCAGTAGAGACTCGATCAAGTGCTCCGTCTTCTATCTAAATCATAAATTCAGAAAGACCGTCTTCGACAGTTTTGGGCCACATCTCGCCAAGCCGTGTCTTCAGCACGCTTGCTGCAACTTGCCTGTGCTGTGTGGGTAAAGACTAGAACTAGAATCTGACATACCAGGAGTCACAAGACGAGGTGGTTTTTAGTCCCCAAGTGAGTGGATGTTCTGGGCACCCCTAACCTCCATTAAGCACCCCTTTGTGACTGCTGGTATAGAGTACAGAGTGGTTCCCGGAACTAACACCAGGTCTCTCCGGTACCCAATGTTCAGTTCTAGACCCGGTCTGCTCAAGCACTCACCCACAGGCCGGGTTGAGACTATTTTCCTTTGATCAGTGGGTTTGGATGGTGCCCTATTTTTGAGCCATGGCTACGGAAAGTTGGGAAGTTATCTGCATCATACATCTGTATCTTCCATGCTGGATGACACCTATGTCACAATGTCAACTTATGTGCCTTGATTAATTATGTTTCTAACGCTGGGGCCAGGGCTATCCAAAAACTGTCGAGTCAATAAGGAACTGGCTCATTATGTTCTGTTGAGGGTCTTGGCCGTGCACCCACTGCTTGGAAATCTCACCAGGCTCGGCGAACATGCCAGGCGAACGTGCCCGTCTTCGTTGTCTTCCTCTTCTCCTGTGGTTCAACCAGCAACAGCTATGGCGGAGCACATCTTGGAGATGGATTGGGAGTCAGATGGACGGGGGTTTGCTCTTCAGAAAGGGGCACCATGGGGGGTGGAAGGGGTTGCTTTCGAGGGGTTGTGGCCTTTCTAATGCCCTACCTGGACACTACTTACGCTACTTAGGGAGAATATGGACCTGGCTGGAGCCCTGGAGCACCGGGAGCACCATAAAGGCACCTCTGTCCCAACGGAATTAGGGATCTACGTAAGACACAGAACGTTTGGCAACCAACACCTTAGTTAGCCAGTTGATGCAAAGCCCAGGAAAACAACAGCGACACTTGAATGGTTAGATATTTGGTTAAGATCACTGTTTTTTCATTGTTGTTGTTCCATGAGTGTTACAAATGAACATGTGAGATGAACCTTTGCTCAAACATGAAGGTCTTTCCTCTTGTCAAAGCGTTTTTCCGTTGCTTGGAACCGATGTAAAAGAGTTCTGCGATCCCATGTGATCCCCGATCCCATGCTATGCATACCATCAGCAAACCCGTCGTTGGGGGCCCCAAATCCGCTCCCCGATCGTTGTACCGGTCAGGCTGCTCCATGTGCGAGAAGTACAAGGCGAACTGTTTGGGTGCATGATCTTGTTCTTGAGCCATCATCGTTTTCCTCAAACCATTGAACATACACCCGAAAATAGCATGCAATTATGCCTGATGATTGTTTTATCTATTAGTTTGGTACTATATGGTGCCATTCTCCAACAAGAGTTAAACGGAACCTCGTGACTGGTGCTTTTACTCAGACCCTGCTCAAACTCCTGGTTCCTATTATGTTGCGGGGTGCTAGAGTATCTACTAACAGCCAAGGTAGCAGCAGCTGTATTACATACTATACCAAGATCTTGATCCTTGTTGGTTCGTTAGATCATTTGTAGATCTTAATGATCTTAGGCTCTTTTAGGCTCTTCTTGCACACCCACAACACATTCGTACATTTCATGACTGGCCCGAAGGTGGTTCATTCAACATGTTCTTCACTCCGCGGCATCACATCCCCTGCCACCGTGCGACAGGCCGCGCGGCATCCCGGCCGAGCCCCGATCCTTTGCCACCAAGAGGAAGCCCTGCGTTCGCCGACGAAGGATCCGGTGGAAGCACTCAATACGTGGTATTCATATATGGTCGAACCACTGGTTGAACCAGAATATTATGGTTGACTTGTAACTGATACCACACAATATAGGGTCTATGATTATCAATCAGTTCACGTAGTCACATCGTTGACTTTTGACTTCGCTATGGGGTAAACCACTGGCTTGTGCCACCAGTTTGCAACAATTCTGTGACACCGACATTGGTGTTTGGTGATGTGCGTGACACCAATTTGGAGACCCTCTGTCAGATTGAAGCCCAAATAGAATCACAAATCTCTCCCGAGGGAGGTCCTTGGTGATCTTTGGTGATGCACCGGAGATCTCCCAGGAGACCATCATCTTCCCCTCCGTCTCCCCGGGGAGAACATCCGACCGCCTCCGGGAATGAAGAACATCTGGAGACCGACGTCCACCAGCGCAAGGCCTGGGAATGAGTTCAGTCGACGTCGTTCGGCGAGGGACTATTGGAGGACGGTGTGGGTTTGGAATAAAGGCGACTTTCGATAAGCACCCAGGGGGCACTCCCCATCAACATGTGATGTGTCATGTTGATGAAGAACCCAGCCATTTTTGGGCTCTGCTCTGAGGCTTGATTCCTTTGAATTCGCTGGCAAATGCTGGCAGGTTGAAGCTGAAGACTGACCCGAAGACCCTTCAAAGCATCGAAGCTAAGAAAAAGAGAAAACATCAAAAAACACTCTTTCGGATTGGTTCGTGTGCTGGGTCTCAGATTACTGGACACTATGGGAGCATCGTGGCGGAACTGGCGCTGGTTTCTACCTACTAGTACCTGTAACTTGCTCTCTGCATTGACTGGTAATAACTCGTAATGTGTTGGCAAAAATTGCCCAATGGAACTATCCTCCTGGTCTTCCAAGAGGGGACCCCCTTCCAGGTGTCTATGTTTTGCACTCATATTTTGGAGTATTGCTTCTTGGGAAGAGTGTGCGGCCTCCCTCACCTCATGATTCCGGATTCCGAAGCTTCACCAGACATGTCCTAGAGAAACAACTCAGACCCTCCAGTTGATTGGGGCAAGCATGGGGCAAGCATGTAAAGGAAAACAGATGCTGTGAGGACATATGGATTGAACCTTTACCCACACTCATACCTTCCCCAAACATCAACAAAATATATTCATCTCGAAGGTTTGAGCTGTTTCCTGGGCTGGAGGCATCCAGTGTGTTTCTATTCTTGGAGAGGAAGAGGACACCTCCAAGTCTAGTTCGACCTCCCAGACCTAGTTCGCCAGCGGGGTCCGCGCCTCGACCAGTGACCAGTGGGTGTGGAGCGTTCTAATGGACGGTAGCGAAGGTTCTCATGTGCGGAGACCCGCAGTGGAGAATGCCAGATGTTTGGCTGGTGAGATCCTCTGGAAGAAGTCCATCTTCAGGAGGAAACAGATCCATAGTGAATATTTATATATATATAATTATATATATTCTATATATATGTTAATTGTTAATATATATACAGTATATAATTTAACTATGAAAAAAAACGGCAAAAGGGCAGTTGAAAAGAACACCGCTTCATCTTATTCCTATGTTACGATCCTATAATGTTGACAGTGTTTGTTTTCGGTTCAACGTCAGATCAATGTCATATAGTTACATCAAATATCATCTAAATGGTCTCAACTGCTTGGTGACGGTGCTTCATCGCAGATTGTCAATCTTCCAGTGATGGCTCACATACCAAGAGACACATCCAATAGCCACACGGAACGGGTAAACATATTGATCCAATTCTAGAGGTTTACGCAAAAACTCTAGTTTTGGGAACCCTACGACATCCGTGTGCCAGTTCAATTTGTGCTTTCTGTCATGTCTGGAGCCAAGGAACCAACAACCACACAAGACGTCCATGTTTGTGGGAAGGTTTTCCTATGTTTCCCTGCTTCCAGCTGAAAGGTTCCGTATCCCGAACAAATGGCAGGCAAGATTTTGATTCTGGTTAGCAGGGCTCCCCGCCGCACCTCCTACTTGAGAGAGGAGGGGGTGAACGAAAGGTAGCAGACAATCACAAGCAACCCTGGTAAAAGTCCATGACGGCGTGAACCGGCGCAGGGGGGATTTGCCTTTCGTGACATGGTGTCGGACCCCATACCACACTTGACGTGCACACTCACCACATCGATGTTCGTTGGTTTTAACACTCCTATAGCAACTCTTGATCTTTCTGAGAGTCTTGAGGAACTTGAGAAAACAGGCAGGACTGGGTGCCAAATCTAGCAGGCTGCTGGCTTTCAAGTCTTCCAACAAGTCTTGGTGTTGCCTCAGACGTCCCCTCCTTGTTCCATATCTTTGCAGGCCCCACAGAGCCCAACCGGTCCGCACTTGCCGTCCTCCCTTCGGTCCATACACGTCGGTCCGCCTGTTGCACGCACGCGTGGCGCCTCTGGGATGTCACGGAGTCCTGGTACACCGCCGGCGTGGCTTCGGGCGTAGCTAACCTATGAGGAGTGGCTAGGGCGAGAAGTAGTAAGTGGTGAGCTCCGCACTTTGGGTGGTCAACCTAAGCCGGCTCTGCAATCTTTTGACACCACTTGTCCGCTGCGATCTGGCGCTTGAGGTCCGTGCCCACTACGATCTGGCGCTTGCTATTGAGGTCCGAGAGTGCCCACTGCGATCTGGCGCTTGCTGTTGAGGTGTCATATTGTATCCCAACATAGAACATCAACCACAACATGGACATCACATGACATAGCAAGAACCACATACACACACACACACTCTAGACCTCCAAACAGTGGTCCGGTGAGCCTGGACACTTCGGCTTCCACCCACAGTCCGGGGGGGCGGCTTGACTCGCCAAGGCCGCCAGGGAGTCCTTGGACTCGGATGCTTCCAAGGACTTCAGCAACTGATCCGCATATTTCTCCGCCCTGGCCACCGGCACGAGTCAACGGCCAACAAGGCATGATGTCAAATGCGGAGACGGTCCGGGATAGGGGAAGACGGTGGGAAGACGATGATCTTTCTGGGGGGGCTAATTACTAGTTACTGCAAATATATTATAATATATATATATATATTTGTTCCTGCAAGATCTTGATATATCTTCATCCTCTGGAGGTAGATCAACTCTTCAGCAACGATAGCTTGCAGCTTGATGATAGCTTCATGCTCAGGCCTGTGGTCCGAAAGCCCATCCCGTTGGTCCTGGAGGCCTTTCCTCTACCCCCCTACCGGCTGTCCGTGTGTCCGGCCAGGTCAGATTGGTGGAGACCTCCGGATTTCAGACGGTAGCGAAGTAAGTCACCACTTTGAGGTATTTGTGATGGCCCGAAAAAGAAAACAAAAAGCACATCAACTGAGTGCCCCGGTCTCTTTCTTCTCATCGACCTGGCTAATGGGTCGACGCATGGCGACGATCATTCCGATGAATACAGCATGGTTGGTTCTCTCTCATGATGTGATTCACAGGCTTTGAGAACCATGCCCAATTCCAACGACCTCGACATCGAAATCGACACCTGCAACTGTTAGTCACTGTTAGTCCTTGCCCTCAGTGCCGAAGGAGTCTTCAGCACATTTCAGAAACCCGGGGCCACATGTCGTGCCACAAAATTTTTGTGACACAACATCTTGAGTCAAAGACCTCGACAATTGTTCTCTCTATACCGTCCAATGTCCGCGACTTTGACAAAAACGGCATTGGAAAAAAGGTATCCGGTGCCAGCGCACTGGCGAAAGACAAAATGGCTCTTTGATGCACTGTCTTCACATCTTCAATCTTCTTGATCCAGCCAATCCAGCTAGGCCGGGCCTAGTAGAAGCAAGTAACATGATCGATCCTCAAATGGGGCTCTTTTGGGAGGAAGCCATTTGGGGGACCGGGTGGACCGGGTGGACCGGGTGGACCTTCAATCCACTCAGAGCATCGAAAGCAACTCCTCCACCGTTCCGCTCTTCGACCAGTCTGGGCTCCACGACGGTCTGGGTGAGCTTCCTGTGCAACGGCGCCGTTCCCGGGCGGTCCGTCAGACTGGGTCCGGTTCTCGTGGACGAAAACAGGTGGTTCTCGTCGTACACGAAGATGGAGAGAATCTGGCATGGAAGTACTCCACAATCTGACAATTTGGCGATGAAGAGTGTAGAACACTTAGCATTTGATGGGTTGATGCAATTTGGCAGTGTTCGTCCACCACCGCTGATTACAGTATCCTTTGGACTCATTTTGGACTCGTCAAGTATCATTTGTTCTCCTCGCTGCAGAACGTGTTGCCTCAAACAATGGCCTCCCGCACTCCGGGAGTGCCACCCATGTTTTACGCCCACTCATCAAGCGGACCTCGTCTGCCCAGGCCTCCTTGCCAGGTCCAAATCCAAATCCAAAGAGCCATTGATGCCCGGCAGGGACGACAAACCGCCCTGAAGGCTGGTGGGTGGTGACAGGGTGGGACGGATTCGGCTGGTCGAAGGTCGTTCGACGAAGGGCCAAGCAGCTGGATGGTGGTCGACGGTTTTGGTGGCCCCATGACCATTCCAAGCCGATACTGTAATTAGCCTGCTTGCAGGGCTGCATAGCTCACGAGTTGACCAAGCTTTTCAAGGGGTGGATGAGTCATCGTAGCATCGTATTCATATTTTTTGACTCTGCGGCTGCGGCCACTGGTATGTAGGGGATCTGGATACACCCTGACTGGATCCTTCTGGATACACCCTGCCTGAGCCATTAAAGCATCTGAACCAGCTCGAAGCAACTTCTCACACCCCGACGATTTAGTTGATTTCTTGGCTGCATCCCATGGAAATTCAATGCATTCCATATCGGGAATCAGCATCGGACTCCCTTCCACTTCTTCGGCAAACATCCGGCTGAAGCGATTCCCCATCCCTATCCACTGCCACAATCGATTCGAAGGTACCACCGGAGCCTCACTGGCGCCAATGAAAAAACATCGACACACATCACCCTCGATCCCGGCAGTGGATCCATCGTGCGCACATGTGATGCATGTGGTTCAGCGCCATGTCCCCCACACCCGTCGTACCTCCCTGACCGGCCACTTGGCATCTTCTCGCCAAATGGTGCCACCTGCAACATCCCAGCGCGACCAGTTGGGTTCCAAGCTATTTTGCGAGCAATAGCTCACAAGGATCTTCAGTTTGCGATCACTTTGAGATCTCTAAACAGCTTCTTTGTCACAACTGTTTGACTGTTCTAAGTACCCCAAAACAAAAGCATGCAACATCATGCAACCATGCTGCATTTCATTTCATGTCCACCTCATCCGGTCCGTTTCGTTTCGGTGTCCGTGCCGAAGGGAGAAGGAGAAGCCCGGCTAGGCCTGGGATCGGGCACTTGGGAGAGTCTTCTCAGTCTCGTGCAAACCAATTCTTGGACTCCCAGACGCGCCGACCTCGCCAGTCGCCCCGTGGCTCCTGAG